TCTTTAGCCCCTTCAAATAATGTCCTAGAACTTGATTTCTTTTCATTTTGTCCCTTCTCACAAAATTCTTCCAAATTTTAACAAGCCTCTTTTTAAGTCCAATATAGGAAGATTATCCAGGTCACTCTCTTGGTTTATTATTTGTATATCCCTTTTAATTATTAAGACATCAGCCGGTTTCTTTTGTGTGTCCAGTGTAGCATCTTTTTCCATATTATTCATGTAGCCTGCCATTTTTAAATCCACTTTCAGATCAGTCTCAGTCACGTCCAGTAAAACTTGTTCCTGTTCCATAACATCTTTTAAACATAGCCTGTCTATAGAGGCAGATACTCTTAAAATTAACTTCTGGGTCTGTTGTTCAAAAATATCCTTCAATATATCCAATGTTAAAATATTTTGCTTCATTCTGTATTACTAAGTCAAATTTAAGTGTTCTTCTCCTTTAATTGTCATCTTTAGTTCCTTCTGCTTCCCTGATGTCCAATCTTTGAAGTCGCATCATATTATGTTTTTTTTTTTAAAGAGAATTCAAAACAAAAGCATTTTCCCAAGGGAAAGATTCTTAGAATTAATTCCAAAATCTTATTTCAATTCCATCTGGGCCCTTAGTCCATTTGTAACTTTCTAAAATCAAAGTTCTAATCACCCTTTTGCTGTTTATTCCAAAAAAATTTTTTTTTAATTTCTTAAACTTGTATTTAAAACTTCTTTCACTAAGGATTGAAGGAAACTCACCCGGTACTATAAGCCTTGTCAATCCAAAGGTTGCTAATAGCTGAAAAGCAGTTAACAAGCAGTTTCCAAAAGTGATTAGAAAAAGAAGTATGCAAACCCAGTGTCTTTTCAAAGGCGCTGACCGCGGTTTGAGCAAGTCAAACCTCGTCTCCCAGAGCTGTAAATCCGCTGGAGACTACTGTCTTGCGGTCTCCTCCGGAGGAGCAGCTGTCTGGAGCACTTGTGGGCGATCTCAAGTCTTCTCCTTGTCCGGAGAGGAATTACAAAAAAGCGGTCTACTCGCTGGCTCTTCATTCCACCACAGTTGTTGGCTCTGCTGAAAGCGGAGGCATCTTCATTTCACCATTTCTTCCCTGGAAGTCTGAGGAGGAATTTCCTGACCATAACAGTGATCAAACAGTGAAGCAAGCCGCCTGACCCAATGGAAGGCTCCCCTTCACCAGCGACTGTCAGAGAGCGGCTGGACCGTCCCTGCTCAGGGATGCTTTAGCCACTCAGCACAAAGGGAGAATGGAGGGAGCAGCTGATCAAGGCTGCTGTACCTTCGAGCAGGTGTCCTGGGAAAGGTGGATGAGAACCAGGCAGCTGGAACAGGAAGAAAGAGAGAAGGGCCTCAAGCCCCCAGCCCAGTCTCAAGGTCTGGCAAGAGGACTACCCTATGCACAGGTCTCTGCCCCCCACCCTCCAGAATCCAGCAGAGAGGAAGATGCCCACCTGGAGCAGGAGAGGTTGGAGCCCCCCGAGGAGTCATTGTCTGCCCGCGACAAAGGCTGAAGAAGGGCCATGCCTCTTAGGGGCCCACTGCTTAGGACCAGCAGGGCCAGAACCACCAGACAAGGGATCAGCCTTGGAGGGCAGAGAAGAAACCATTGGGGAAGGACCCTGGAGGGCCAGGAGGGGCTGATGGTGGACACCCACCATGTTTCCCCAGGAGACACTCCTCTGGCCATCTGCGGGCTCCCTCGCACTCTACCTACCAAGCCAGGGCGTAAGGCAGAGCCAGCTGACATCTGGGGAAGCACGAGCTGTTCTCCTTTGGGGGAGAGAAAAACAGATTTGGAGGGAAGGACAAACAGAGGGGCGTTGCTGTGGGGGTGACGAACAGGAGAGTTTGCCTTCGGTTCCAGGTTGGGAAAAGGTAGCTGAGGCAGCCATGCTCCCATCTGAGCTGGACTGCAAGACATAATCCCACCCCACTGGGCTCAGACAGCACCCACTGCTCAGCCCAGGGACACTCCCCACCCCCACCCCGCTTGCTTAATGGCTACTGCAGAGCTGGAACTGCAGGTAGCCCAGGTGCTGCAAAGGCTTCTGCCCAGGGATTGGGGGTGACTGGCTGGGCCTTCCCCCAGCCTGCGGCTGTCCTCTGGGCTGCAGCTTGGTGTAACAGAGTTGCTCTTAAACTCATCCTCCAGCTTGGCCTCTACCAGCCTCCATCTATCCACGTATTCAAGCAGGCAAGAATTTTATGGGGCTCCAGCAGCCTGGGCAAGG